ATATGTTTTTTAACTTCTTTTCCCTAAAATCTAACATCTTACTAAAGCTCTTATTTCAACACTACAACTGTCTGAATCCCCATGTTATGGTTTTCAGCTTTTCTAAATAATTTCACTTATGCTGTTAGGCAGACTAAACAATGTAACACCATAAAAGTGGCAGTGTGTATTTTTGTTTACATGTGTGGGAATGCCATCGGTTTGGGGTGCTCATGTTTTTACAATTTCACACAAGAAGATATTTTCCTCACTAGTCTGGACTGAACAGCAACTTAAAACTCTGAAATGCCGGTTAAGTAATTTAAATTGAGAATCAACAGTATGTTTTCAATGTCAATCACTGATTTCACTTTTGGGCTGAATTATTTTAAATAAAAAATACAAATGTCCCAGAAACGTTGTTACTTAAACTGCAAAGGTGCAACAAAATACACAAATATGTAAATAGTGAACATATGTTAACAAGCAGAAGTTACACATGGATGGTTGAATTTGAACTTGGATGACTTCCAGGGTAAGAATGAGTCAGAGTTTACAAACTTACACAATATAAATGTGTGTGGTCTTCTTGTAATTTTCACCGTAGAATGATAAAATACTCCAGGGTGCTTCGCTTGAAAGACGATACTGTTCAGGCACAGGCCTGTTTTGATGCTTGGAGATTCACCTTTACTAAATGTGGTGGTCTCTATTAATGCAAGAAGAGAGTATCTCTGACTCATTAGGAGAGATAACTGTCTGCAAGGTTTAACAGTAGCCTTTAGTTCTTTTTGTGTTTTTAAGTGGGCAGCCAGGTCTTTGAAGTGGGCCAGAGGCAGAAAGTTATGATCAGACATGTTTTTGTGGAAAGTCAGATGCAGCTGCGATTACACATGAAAGACGGATTATCAAGCTTGATGACTGTGAAGGTAGGAGAGACAGAGTCCTCCATAATGGTGTGTAATTACTGTCAGTTCATCTGAGACATTAGAAGAAGAGGGTTATCCAACAAATATTTTCTATAATATCTGCTAAATAATGAAAACAAACAAAAAAATATTTTTAAATCTGGTACTCTTGGAAATTTTAACAGACCTTTAACTATACATATGGAAGCCTTCATTGTTATTTTTTTTTTTATGAAGTAGACGCCTGTCCTGTTTTATGTTCCACTATTTCCCTATTTTCCTGTATTTATAAGTGGTAGCAGTCATTGGTTTTAAATAAATTCTTTAATTTAATCTTCGAATAATTACCTCTGTAAAATAAATATATCAAAACTCATTCAGCACGGTAAATCTTTTTGGACAGGAATTAATCATTGAGATTGTTTTAACTGATTTTTTTTATACTTCAAAATAATGACTGCATAATCAAAAATCCAATGAAAACAATCCAGATTTTCTTCTATTTACTATAAATTACAAATTAAACTAAATTTGTCTCATTGTGCCTCTAACTCACTCTACTGTTAACTCAGGATGTGGAAATCCAGAGAAGTCACAATGCCTTGCAGAACAATTACAAACGTTTCATACCAAACATCATGCATAAGAAGCTCTGGAATGTCGGGTAGTGCAGGCCGTAGCAGCTCACTACTGCATAAATGTTGGTTCCAAATATTTGAGGGCTCTCGTTAAAATATTTTGCTGCAAGTAGACTAATGATACACCGTGGAGCACAGAACAAATAAACAAACACTGAAGTAAACTTTTTAACTTGCATTTTGAACTTAAGTAGTAAGCTTCAATGGCCTGCACAACCAGTATCAGAATACAATATAAAACCAACTTCATTTATTTAGCGCTTTAAAACAGTAATAGCGGAAACAAAGTGCTGCACCTAAGAAAATAAAAATACAAAAAAGAACAATCAGATATATAAATAAGACATAGGCACAATAAAATATTAAGTATTAAGTAAAATTTACTCTTCTGAACTTTACATTATGTTATAATGTTATTACATGGAGTGTTGCCCTCGATCTTTGATGCATGCTTGAGAACTCCTTTAATTTCCCCTGGCAACCATTTGGGGGTGCCTAAACTCTCACTGAGTGTCATTTTTTTCCATGCAGTTCCTCCTTGGAGCTACAGTCTTCAAGCTGAGCTTCTGCATTACGTATCACCCCTCCTCTGTCCGACCCCCACTCAACTCTAACAGACTAGCATCAGGAGCAATCAGCAAATGCCTCCTGGAACTGCACATCTTCTGAGCTCGTTAGAAAAACTACTTCTCAGTCCAATGTTGGTAAGAATGATCGTAAACAGCCTGATAGAGAAGCTATGTTGTTATGGCATGCTGAATGTGATGTGTTGGAAAGAACTGAAGCTTCTTAAAGAGGCAGTCCTAATTTCAAAGCATTAAATTGGTAAGTTAAAATTATTTTAAGTCATGTTTGATGTACACAGCAGTTTTAAAACAACTGGAGGTAACATTGTTACTTGATTGTTCTATAAAATTGCACAATCCCTGTAAAATAGAAAATAAAAGTCTTTCAAAACAAACAAAAATATTTTAAAGTGGACTATAAAATGGACAAGGAGCCAGTTAAAAGGCGTGCAGCAGCATTTTGAACCATCTGCAGAAGAAGGAAAATAATTTACTCACTCCAACAAAGAGTCCATTGCAATAATCTCAGTGAGATGAAATAAAATCATGGATTGCTGTTCCAAAGGGAGGTATGGGCAGAAAGGATTTAACTTTTGCCAGCCGTTTTAGGTGATAAAAGCAGGAACTGGTTCAGTTTGTCTTTCCAATTTAAGATCAAGGTCTAACTTGTAATCCATAGCGGTGACAGTTGATTTAAAATAAGCTGTCAGGAGTCCCAAATCAACAGTGGTGGAATCACAAGGCCCTCGTGGTCCATACCTCTATTTTCTTTTCATTTAAATTCAGGAAATTCAGGACTAAAGCTTTAATATCATCCAAGCAGTTCAAAAAGGCTTTCATTGAAAAGCTGTCATTCTGCTTTAAGTTTTGTTGATGGGTCTTGCTTGCCTTGAATCTGATAATCATCAGCAAAGAAAAGGAAAGTGATTTATTAAATTGCTCCTTATTATGGAGCTGAGGGGAAGAGATAAAAGAAACAACAAAGAGACGAGCCCTAAAGTTGAGCTTTGTGAAACCCCAAAAGATAGAGGAGCGCATAGTCAGTATGTAACATGTTGACACAGTAGGATTAATCAGCCAGATACGATCTAACCCAAATAGGACGTGATATGAAGATACTGTGCTTGTCAGAAACCACTGGTCCTATTGTAAAAGTGTTGCACTCTCACTCTTATTAGACTGATGACATTTGTGTAACCTGTCAAAAAATGCTAATCTCACATGCCTGTTCTTTCACTCGTGTAAACTTACTGATAGGAACTACAGATGGTGACTGCATAAAAGCATTGTGAATATAGATCTGTGCAGCAGTACAGGGAAAAATAATTGATATGAGATCAAGTTATTCAAGTTTTCTCGATGATTAATATTTTGAATGACTGGATTTTATGGATTAGTGATTCTCTTTTTGCATCAAAGTGCTACATGGAACATAATATGGAAGTTTCTGGAATATCTCAGTAAAGTTTTCTCAAACTTCTCAGAATGCTAGATGAGGACAAAACCCATCAAGAAGGTCCCACCACCTTATAAGCATTTTTGACTTTGCGGTTCAGGCTTAATCACTGTGACTGCACTTTTCAGTCTTCACTGTGAGACAAATGGTACATTTATATGTGCAAACACATGTGGCTTTAGGTGAGCCATGGTCCATAAATCAAACATGTAGTGAAATGCATGCTAAGAACAAAACATATCACATACTCAGCATACTTGAGATAGCGTTGCGGATATTAAGTTACTCTCCAGGCGTCCTACCAATATTTGCCAGTGAAGTTTTGTAAGAGCATCTTGTGGTTTTCTGAACTAAGCTTTGATGTCTGCACAGTGATTCTTTTCCACCACTTAAAGCTCGACAGTACAAAATTATTTATAAAAATCTGAGACAAGGAGCCATGTGGTATCCAGTTTTGTAGCTTGTCCAGTAAAAGTTTAACCACAACATTTCTCGTCAGCATGTGGAAAAAAAGTCTCTGATACTTCACAGATGCTATAAGCAAAAAAAAAAAAAAAAAAAACACTTTGCTCTTTACCACAAAGCATCAAAGTGTTTTAATCTGTTGAATCTATTTGGGAAATATATTCAAGATTATTAAACATAACTACGGAACTGCATATCAAAATCCAAGTTGTGCATTTGTATGTTTGCATATCAGCCAAGCTCAGCTCTACGGGCGACTTGGTACCTGCTGTCCACCCCCATCTGATTTGTCTCTCTTTATTGCTGTAAACCGACTACTGCTTCTATTGTGTGTGTGCAGAGAAGCTGCTCTTTCTGTTAAGCATTCTCCTTTTAATGCCAGTTCACAATCATGTTACGCATATCTGAGTTACCTCTTTCATGAAGCTGTAAGCCAAGTATTTTTGGCAATGTCGCCCCAGTAAGCATGTAGAACTTTAAGTGATTTTCTCAGCAGCAATGAAGGCTTCCATATGTATAGTTAAAGGTCTGTTAAAATGTCCAAGAGTACCAGATGAAGTCATCTTGAATCTAATAGCTGACTTTTATGTGAATTATGCAATAATTTGCAGTAGGTTTGTGGGCGTACATTATTTCAGATAAGTGCCCTACAGCTAGCTTCTTGTTAACAACCTCAGATGACATTCAAATACACCAATCTGCAGGAATGGGTGAGGACATTACCCTGAAGTGAGAGCAAGTCTGATTGCTGCAATTGTGACAAGACACAGTTAAGCCTAGTATGTTTCTTGGGGGATGAATGGAGCTGACAGGTGATTTTCATTAATTTACAATACGAATTAAAACTAAAATTATAACAAAATGTAATGTGGAAATAAACTTATAACATAAAATAGTTTTTTTTACTTAATAATGAGATTTTTGGTTGCTTATCTTTATAGTACACCAGGAAATGTATGCATTGTAAATGAAAGTTTAATCCACCTACCTTTAAAGTGTCTTCTCCCATAGATGTAGAATTCCTGAAGCTTCCTGAAATATATTCCAGTTTGTATGTCCACTTCCACAAAACTCCAAGAGCAGAACAACTATAATCCAAGCACTCCTATCTGAGCCTTGCACTTGTTTGAAAATTGTTCAGAAAGAAAGCCTTCTTATAGGCTGCAAGTTCTCTGTGGCTGTCCCAAGCTCAGGTCCTAGTGCCCCCGTCTGAATTGTTACTTGAATATACACATGGATGAATGGATACATTTTAACAACTCTTATCAAAAAATGAGCACAAAGCAGATAGGAAAATCATTTCTCATGTGTCACATAAAATCCCATTGAAGATTTTGTCTTTTATTTATGACTACTAATGCAAAAATAATTTATCCAAAAGTAACAATTATTGGTTTAGGATTTATTTCCCTTGTACTGTCAAGCCAGTTTGAAAGAATATTAAAATTGAAAAAAGTTTTGATGTGTATTTTGCTATTCCTATTGTTGCAGTCTTAAAAAATGTATTACAATCAAAATATATTGAACATTTAGCCTTTGAAGTGCCATTTGTAGAAATTATAAATTGTGGTACTTATCTGTATGTACCATAAACATAAGGTACATAAAGATATGAACATAAATTTATTACATCAAAGGTTAACTATTGATAATTCCCATATATATTAGCTAACTATTGACTACTGATCAGTAGACCAAGGTTCAAGTAAAAGCTTGGACTCACAGGACAGTGATAAACTCACAATATGCTACGTTTAACTGACTTATTTACAATAATCCTCAGGTTGTTGGTGTGCTTCTTTGAGTTTGCATTCTTCATTTGTAAAGAATCTGAGTTGAGAGTATACTATGACATTTTGTTTCCTTAAAAAGGTGCTATAGCTCTGGCAGGCTTGTGGAGCTGGAAGATGGCAAACAACTTTTTGCATTTCCACCATCTTGTGATGGCAGCACCAAATGACAACACAGTACTAGTATTCTGTATCTTGTAACACTAAACAAGTTCCTTAAAATCAATTCCCATTTTTGACAGGCATCATCTTACAGTACAGTTCCTATTCAATCAGTGTTATGTGAGATGTTGTATTGAAATTACAACATCTGGAAACAAGCAAACAGGGAAATTATGATTCGGACTGCAATACGAGCTTTGCTGTTCATATTCCAAGTATAAAACATATAAAAATAAGACAAAAAATATTTACAAGTTGCTCCATGTTTTTATAGGAGTTGCTCCATGTTTTTATAGCTTTATGTGTTCTTGTGAATACCCTATTTTTGCAGAAATTTGAGAAGTACAATTTGAATGAATACACTTTTTTTTCACAAAATCAAAGGACAAGTTAGAATAAACCTTCCTTATTTACTTATTCTCAACAGTTTTTTTCTGTGTCTAATATAGAACTATGATAATAATTAACAATAAGAATTACAATTGGAGTAAAATTAGGTTTGAGTGTAGTACAAACCTAATTTGCACCTTCATTCATTGCTGTTGATTGAAGGTGAACTTTGTGATTTTCCGATGTTAATTTTAGTAAAATAATCTGTGAAGTTTATAAAAGTGAGATAACAAATAAGTGACATTGTATTGAAACACTTTAAAAAACATTAGTTTTGACGTAAAACGTCAATTCATCCACCTACCAGTTTAAAGCAACCTTTATCCAATCTTTGTTTCTAGATTTCTGGGACTGACATCAGTACTGATACAAATGTTTTATGATTTGAAGCAATCTAAATTCTTTTGGCTGTTTGTTTCCTTTATTTTTTTTATATAAATAAATATCGGCTGTGACCTGTAGCTAATTGTGTACATGGGGATTTTTAGGGGAAAAAAAAATGTAACACTGCTCATTTGGAGGTCTCAAAAACTCATAAATCAAATATGATACATTTGGCGTTATAAGGAACGCCAAATGTATCAAATGTGATACATTTGGCGTTATAACGCCAAATTATAACGCCAAAGGAACGCCAAATTGCTGCATTGTTGTAGCACTTTTTATGTTTGAAAACTCATGTATCAAATATGATACATTTGGCGTTATAAGGAATGCCAAATGTATCAAATGTGATATATTTGGCATTATAAATCAAATCAAATCAAAATCAAATCAAATTTTATTTGTATAGCACATTTCAGCAGCAAGGCATTTCAAAGTGCTTTACATCATAAACATAAAAACATGAAGTCATAATAGACAATACATTGTTACATATTACCTTTCAAATGCGATTCTAAACAGGTGTGTTTTTAGTTGAGATTTAAAGGAAGTCAGGGTTTCTGCTGTTTTACAGTTTTCTGGAAGTTTGTTCCAAATTTTTGGTGCATAGATGCTGAAAGCTGCTTCTCCTCTCTTGGTTCTGGTTCTGGGGATGCAAAGCAGACCAGAACCGGAAGACCTGAGAGGTCTGGAAGGTTGATACAACAACAGCAGATCTTTGATGTATTGTAGTGCTAAACCGTTCAGTGATTTGCAAACTAACAACAGTATTTTAAAGTCTATTCTTTGAGCTACAGGGAGCCAGTGGAGGGACTTTGAAACTGGTGTTATGTGCTCTATCTTCCTGGTTCTAGTGAGAACATGAGCAGCAGCGTTCTGGATCAGCTGCAGCTGTTTGATTGATTTGTTGGACAGACCTGTGAAGACGCTGTTACAATAATCAATGTGACTAAAGATAAATGCATGGATGAGTTACTCTAGATCTGGCTGAGACATTACTCCTCTAATCCTGGAGATGTTCTTCAGGTGATAGAAGGCTGACTTTGTAATTGTCCTTATGTGGCTCGCAAGGTTCAAGTCCAAGTCCATCACTACTCCCAGGTTTCAGGCCTGATTGCTAGTTTTTAGTTGTAATAACTGAAGCTGTGCATTGACTTTAGATCGTTCCTCTTTAGGTCCAAAAATAATGACTTCAGTTTTGTTTTTGTTCAGCTGGAGAAAGTTTTGGCACATCCACACATTTATCTGTTCTAAACATTTATTCAGTGATTGGATGGGTTCAGAGTCACCTGGTGACATCGTAATGTAGAGCTGTGTATCATCCGCATAGTTGTGGTAGCTAATATTATTTCCTGTTATAACCTGAGCTAGTGGGAGAATATAAATATTAAATAAGAGGGGTCCTAGGATTGAACCTTGGGGTACCCCACATGTGACCTTTGACCTCTTTGATGAGAAGTTTCCAATTGAAACAAAGAAATCCCTGTTCTTTAAGAAAGATTCAAACCAGTCGAGCACCGAACCGGAGAGTCCGACCCAACTTTCAAGTCGATTCAGTAACATGTCGTGGTCGACAGTGTCAAAAGCTGCACTGAGGTCCAACAGAACCAGCACCGTGGTTCTCCCACAGTCCGTATTTATATGGATATCACTGAATACTTTTGCGAGGGCAGTCTCCGTGCTGTGGTGAGCACGAAAACCAGACTGGAAAGTGTCAAAGCAGTTGGTCATCATGAGTAACGCCAAATGTATCAAATGTGATACATTTGGCGTTATAACGCCAAATTATATGCCAAAGGAACGCCAAATTGCTGCATTGTTGTAGCACTTTTTATGTTTGAAAACTCATGTATCAAATATGATAAATGTATCATATTTGATACATGAGTTTTTGAGACCTCCAAATGAGCAGTGTGACATTTTTTTTGCTTTGTTCAGAAGGATCAATAAAGGCTCCAGTTTCAAAGAATTAGAATTTTCTGTCAGTTATTTCATGATGTGGGTTTTACAGGGTTAAACTGACGTAATTGTCGACATGTTGCAGCAGAGGATAGGATTACAGAGTGAACGTGTTTGAAGCTGTAAGTGAGTGTGTGTGAACAGTGCTAACGTTTCAGGAGAGATCTGAGCCCGGACGTGAGGAAGCATAAACTAACCCAGGTGTAATAAAAGTGCATGTGTGGATGTGAGACTTCCTTTGAAACTCTGAGACTTTCCTTTCTCATCCCTGCCTGTTAGGTTACGTTTAAGTCAAGGTCATTGAAAAATCTGAGTTTTATGCTTTTCTCCATTTTACTTGAAATTGAATAATGGCTGAGATTTTTTTTTTTTTCTTCATATAAGTGTTTCAGTGTGTTCACATTTGAGGAACTACCAGCTTTACACATCTGGATTCCAATAACAACATATGGAAACAAGATCAGTTTACCAGATTACACCCGGGATCAAACCCTGGCTTTGATTATCATTTTAAGCTCACCGTGTCAGGCCTGACGTTTTTAAACATCTGATCAGATGTTGAAAAGCTACTCTTTGTCTGCTTTAGGTTAGTGCTGCTATCCAAATGAATATGAGAACAATACGGGATTGCAGGTAATCATAAGGACTTAACATCACTTAGAAACTAGTTAGACATTAGGGGGATTTTGCTGCGTTGGTGCTTTTGGGTTTTTGGGATTAAAAGCTGACCTCTCTCTAATAGGCTGTGAGGCTCATTTGCAAGAACCTGTTTAGTCACTGGCCAGCAGAGTTGGTAATGCTTATCAAAGATTTGGGATACATTCACATATTCCTTCAAAGTGAATCACAGTAAAATGAAAAATAGGGAGAAAGTCACAGCTTGTGCATAAAATGCTTCATTTCGCATCAACTGATTGAAAGCAGATAAAAAAAATTTTGAGGATGAAAAAAAAGTTGAGATTCATAGAAAATATTATGGCCCTGCAATGAAGGGAAAAGGTTTACATTTGCACAGTTTTTAATTTTATGTTTTAGTTGTAGCAATTGTACAGTTAGAAGATGTTATGTTTGTAGTACACTTAAATTTACAAACTGTTTTTTCCAGATCCATTCTTTCCCGGACCTACATCGCTCCCTGTCTGTCTCTCTCTATCTCTCTTCCTCTCTCTCTCCCCCCAGTCACACCTGTAACTTGTTAGTCAATTAGCCAGGTTTATTGTCCCAGCATTCACCCTCTTAGTATTTAATCAACTCTCTCTCTCATTCTTCCTTACAAGTTCCTCCTGCTAAATCCTGTTAAAGCCTGTTGCTTTCCTGGTTTCTGTGACTTTTTTTCCCTGTTTGTTTTTTGTTCTGCTCTGGCTCCCCGTGTTCTCCATAGATTTTTGTTATAATTTTTTGTTGTTTTCATTCTTCATAAAATCTTCAAATTCAATTAAAAACCTCAA